AATGTTATTTAACTCCTCACATAATGCTGAGGTTGGCAGGGCAGAAAAAGTCCTCTTGATTCTCCAGAGGAGAAAAACAAGGCCCATAGAAACTAACTCACTCTCTATATAGAGTTAGTTAACTATGTTCATACCATAGTCCAGTCACCTAAGCTGAGTTCTAATTCCCTATCTCCCATGTCTGTCAGAGATTTCTATTTGAATGTCTCTTTGGTGGTAGTTATGAGTCACTGAGTCGTTTCTGACTCATAACAACCCTGTAGAGGGTTTCCGAGGCTGTAAATCTTTATGGGAGCAGAAAACCTCATCTTTCTCCTTCAGATTAACTGGTAGATTTGAACCGCTGACCTTGCCGTTAGCACTCCAACTCATAATCCACTACACTACCCAGGCTCCCTGGCTGTGTCTTTATTACCCTCCAAATTTCTAAGTCAGTTTCTAAAGTCAAGGTCATTCTCTAAACCCTTGCTTCCAGGTTTCAACTTCTGTTAATGACACTGCCGTGGCCTCACTCACTGGGTTTGCAAGCTTTCTCATTAGTTCACATTAATTCATCAAGTTCTGGGTCATCTTTCCATTGAATTGTTCCCTTCCTATCCATCTCCACGGTCCCAGTCAGGGTTATGCCAAATTCATTTTGACATCAATTTCCTTGGGCTCCCTTTGTCCAACCAGTATGCTCTGTGTACTGCTTCCATCATGCTTTCAGAAACCATTAGTGACGTCCTATCTTCTATTACGTTATGGTGGAACCCTTTGGCTGACCCTGCAGGCCCTCTGCAACTGACCCCTTGTGTCTAATTCAATTAAATGCCCCTCCCATTTGACAGCATGCTCTCTCTGTTCTTGCTCTTGCCAGCCCTGTCTCCTCACACAAGAATGGTCTCACTTTTGCAGGCCATTCCGTTTATTGGGCACATAGTCTTCTTGCTCCTTATTGAAATGACATCTCTTCCCCAAGTCAGGTCCATACCACCTGTCCCACTAGCTTCTCTCTTAGCTGTGATTTTCCTCTTCTCTTAGGTGCCATCCTATTTTCATACACAGGTCAGTAGACTGTTTCTTTCTGCTCTTTAGTCCCTACATGATATTCTTGTCCTTTATTCTTTTTAAATGGCATTGAAGTGTGATCATCAACAAGAATGCAGCACTGGGGGTGCTTTGGAAGAAAGGTGCTAACGAAACTAAAGGGGTAATGGTAAAAAATGATGCCTGTTAGTCATTAATGACATTTGTAATGCTGTCTTCATTGGGCTTTATGTCTTCATTGGGCTTTATGGGAACAGATTTGAGGAACTTTGAAGTACTATCAAATTATTCATGATTCCTCCTATATGTAAACTCTACAGTGGCATCTTCCCAGGTCTTTTAAATATTACTCTATGTCCACCTTTCTCATTTTCTTCCTGGTGGCTCAATGTACTTACTGAACACAAGCTAGGTTTACAGGGAGTCCCACATCTACAGTGCAGAGTCCAACCCAGTATCTCAGGGATGGTACCGCCCAATGCTTGATTAGTTCATTTGAAGGACAAGTTGTCAGCACACAGAACGAATCCCAGAGGAGAGTAGTACGTCTCTGTCGCTTTCCGCAGGCTAGGTCTAGTCTGTGGCTAAATCATCCGTTTTAGGTTTTGTGTCACTTGGCCAGAACTTGATTGGAGAGTCCAAGGGTTGGAAGGGAAGGATGTGCAGGTCCGAAGGGTGGGAACCACTTCCCAAAAGCTCAACTCTGAGGATCTAGAGAGAAAACAAACTTTGGCTGGTTGCAGAGCCATTTCTTTCAAACAGCTTTCCTTTTACAGCTGCAATAATATTGCACCAGGTCGTCTGCCTTCATGTCACTTTGATAAATAAAAATAAAGCTACGGTGAAAGGCCATGAGCATTGCCAAGTCCTCACTCTGTACTGTGTTTGCATGAACAGGGCCCTGAAAACCCTCACATTTTAGCTTTTGTGGAGACTAGTTTGAATGGCAATTGTCGCGTTGTTCTTGTTAAGTGCTTTTGAGTCAGTTCTAACCTATAGTGACCCTGTATAAGGTTTCCAAGGAGTGACTGGTGAGTCTTCAACTGCTGACCTTGCAGTCCCGTGTTTTATCCCACAGCACCACACCAAGACTCTGAGCAACAGTCAATCTGCAATCAATGCTTGAACAGATTTGCCACACAAAACTGTGCACCTATGGGTTTCGCTTAGTGTGAGCAAATAGTGGTCTTGTTTACGGACACTGCGGCTCTCAACCACCATTAACGTTTGGAAAGGAACTCACCGGTGGCACAATTTTCAGCCAAGCAGTAGGTAGTGGGGCAGAGGGAACAACAGCACTTACAACAGTAAGGAATATTCACCATGGAATGGTCAATCATTCAAAATCAAGAGGGCAACATTTTCCTAAGGACAAAATCAAGAAGGAATAGGAAGGCAGGTGGAATGAAAATAGGAACCCCAGAGAGCAAGTGGGATAACTATTGCTGCATGGAGGGGATTGTTATCACTGAGATGAAGCAAAGTGTATGATTTGCTGAAAGTAAAAGTTGATGATCTTGTCCATAAACCTTCACTCAATTAACAATAAAAGGTTGAAAAATAAAATAAATGAAGGTCTCCAAACACTTGGGGGGGGGGATATATATATCTATATAT